TCTCTCTCTCTCCCTCCCTCTCCCTTCCTCTGTCCCTCCTTCTCTCTGCCTCTCTGTATCTCTGCCCTTCAAATAAATAAATAAATATTTTTTAAAAATTACATCTGCAGCCGGCGCCGTGGCTCAATAGGCTAATCTTCCACCTTGTGGCGCCGGCACACCGGGTTCTAGTCCCGGTCGGGGCGCTGGATTCTGTCCCGGTTGCCCCTCTTCCAGGCCAGCTCTCTGCTATGGCCAGGGAGTGCAGTGGAGGATGGCCCAGGTGCTTGGGCCCTGCCCGCCATGGGAGACCAGGAGAAGCACCTGGCTCCTGGCTCCTGCCATCGGATCAGCGCGGTGCGCCGGCTGCAGCGGCGGCCATTGGAGGGTGAACCAACGGCAAAGGAAGACCTTTCTCTCTCTGTCTCTCTCTCTGTCCACTCTGCCTGTCAAAAATAAAATAAAAAAAAAATTACATCTGCATTATTTGGAAAGTTTGGATACATATTGTCCAGTAATTCTAATGCAAATCCTGGTACAGTGCCCTTTCTTTTCTCATTCCTGAGGGTGACACTTTAATGAAAACTAGATGTAAGTTCTAATCCAGTTGCGCTCCATGCTTTCACCTGTGTCTTGTTTGCTGGACTTTTACTTATGTTCATATCTGTTATATATCCATAGCTTTGCATAGGAAATCACAAAGTTGCTCACATTCTTTTGTCTAAAAAGTGCCTTTCTGAAAGTATTTGCACAACAAATACTTATGTTAGAATCACTGAGTCAACTCCCTTCATTTTTTGAGGTTTGCTTTTATTAAGAGTTATGTACCTTACCTTACTGTTCTGAAATGGGAGGATTTACTGGGATAGTATATGCAAACTAGTAGGGGGTCTAGAACAGCTTTTTCTTTTAATAAAAACTATTTCTAAATGGAAATTTATAATTAGCTTGAATATTTTATTCCCTCATTACGAGTGGTAACAATAATTGGTTCTACTTTTATTTTTATTTTGTTCCCTTATCAATCTTTTGAAACTAAGATTACTTGTTTTATACATCACATATTAGGACCATATTTATAAATTCTCTTGTTTAAGAAACAGTATAAATAAGAATCTTTTTCTGTAACATATTTTGTTTTTTTTTTTTATTACGAATGTTCCTTTTAAAAAATAGTGTGTTGTTTGGGAGGTGGAGAGTCACATAGAGAAAGGTCATAGACAGAGAAATCTGGTTCACTCCTTAAATAACCATAACAAGTGGAGCATCCAAAGCCGGGAGCTGGGGACTCCCACAAGGAGCAGGAACACAATTGCTGCCTCCCAGGGTCTGCACTAGCAGGAAGTTGGAATCAGAATAGGGACTGGAAATCCAACCCAGGTGTTTTGATGTAGGACATGACTTCCTAAACAATAGGCCAGATGCCTGCACCAAGAATCATTACTAATAATTAATATTGGAATTTTGGACTTTGAATTTTGTTTTTGAAAGCATTTTGCATTGTGAAATGTAAAATAAACTGTATTAAGTATAGATATCATAACTATACCATGGGTTGAATTGTCTTATATCATGCAAATCTCAAAACAGATATTTTTTGTCTGCTACATTTGACTATGTAGATTTCATAATAACCAGTCCTTCCAGAGTGCCAAGATTCTTAGTTTTAGTACAGATTGAACAGTGGAGATTTATTTGTAATTAATGCAAACCATGAATCCACTGAAGACACTTTAAAAGCTATTTTCAACTTATCCATAGTTATGACCCCATGATTTGTTTTGTAAGATAACAGTATAGGCATTTCCTTTCTGTTCTAACAACACAAGACTAAAAATTGTCATGTAGTCTAATAAACCATGTTTTCCTTGGCATTGAATGTTGCACTGTTGTTATCAACTACTTGTATAAGGAACTTTCTCAGATGCAATCCACTCTTCATCATGGAAAGGAGAGGTGAGCTAGTGCACAAATAATCTCCAAGGGCAAAAGCAGAGATCTAAAAAGAATTAGCATTTGCCTTGATGTTATTCTTTAATGGTTTATTTCTCAGCCATATTTCATCATAATTAAGTTTGTTGGACAAACATTGAAAATGAATTTGAACAGTAGACATTCGTTTATAGCTATCTAAAACCTATTGAGCTTTTTTTTTTTTTTTCTGGTATTAATGCCTGAAAAGTTATGTAGGAAATTCTTTTTGCCAATTCTTCAACCAACTTTGGTAGAATTGAATTCACAACCACTTTGTACTTGTGAGAATTAATGATTCAGGAGTAACATTTTGATATTTAGGGGTTGATGCTCGGTGGCCTGTGGTGCTAGCATCCCACATGGACTCTGATTCATGTCCTGTCTGTTCCTTTTCTGATCCAGCTCTCTGCTAATGGTCTGAGAAAGCAGTGGAAGATGGCTCAAGTACTTCAGCCCCTGCACATTTGGAAGATCCAGAAGAAGTTACTGGCTCCTGGCTTTGGACTGGTTCAGCTCTGGCCTTTGCAGCCATTTGGGGAGTGAACCAGTGGATGGAAGACCTTTCTCTCTCTCTCTCTCTCTCTCTCTCTTTCTCTCTCTCTAATTCTGCCTCTCAAATAAATAAATAAATCATCTTTTGGAAGATTTATTTATTTATTTGAAAGTCAGAGTTACACACACACACACAGAGAGAGGTCTTCTGTCCGATGGTTCACTTCCCAGATGGCCGCAAGGGCCAGAGCTGCACCAATCCGAAGCCAGGAGCCAGGAACTTCTTCTGGGTCTCCCACATGGTTGCAGGGGTCCAAGGACTTGGGCCCTCTTCCACTGCTTTCCCAAGCCATAGCAGAGAGCTGGATCGGAAGAGGACCAGCTGGGACTGGAACAGGTGCCCAAATGGGATGCCGGCGCTTCAGGCCAGGGTGTTAACCTACTGAGCCCCAGCGCCAGCTCCAATAAATAAATCTTTAGAAAAAATTTTAATATTTAGAAAATATGGGACATAAAATCTTTCCTATTGGGTAAAAAATGAATTTCTTTTGAAAGACTTATGTTTTTATTTGAAAGAGTGACACAGAAAGATGGAAAGACTTAGATCTTCCATCATTCCTGAAATGACTGCATTGGTGGGGGCTGGGCCAGGCTGAAGCCAGGAGCCTGGAACTTCAGTTGGGTTTCCTACCTGCATTGCAGTGGTCCAAGTATTTGGACCTGCTGCTTTCTCAGAAATATTAGCAGACAGCTGTAATGAAAAAGGAGCAGCCAGGACTCAAATCAGCATTCTGCTATGGAATGCTAACATCACAAGCAACTGTTTAACCCAGTTTGCCACAGCACATATCTTGTGAAAAAAAAAAAAAAGTCTTGATATTTCCTGCTACTCTTGGTAGTCTAATCTTGAAGCATAAAAGAGTTAAATCTATCTTTCTAAAGCAGTCAGTATTGAAAGCCACCAAAAAGAATTAAAAAACCCAAAATGAGTTATAGAGATGTCCATTTCGGTTTTGAAGCAAATCACATTCTATGTAAATCATACTAATGTATTTTGCAGTTACATAATACAATAGCACATTTTATTTTTATCTTTTACTTGTTTTCTTTCCATATGTTTGAGTTCAATTCTCAGTCATTTGTGGAAAATTTCCTAATTTATGAAACTTGCACTTCCAAACCAAACAGAGAGTGAAATAAAAAGAACAGAAAAAAAAAAGCAAATAATAACAGAGAAATTATTGATAGTATAATATTTTCTCCATTTTGTAGGCAAGGTGTTCATATGATCAATCGAAAATTGTGCATTCACAATGATTAGATGATAATAAATGTTGGCTAATGTAATAAAAGTCTTATCCAATTAAGCATTGGGGCAACAAAATTTTTATAAGAAGATATATTCCCATTGACTTATATCTATGTGACTTTATTTCTCTGAACACTTGTTGAACAGTGTCCTATTTGCAGACCATTGTTGATGAGATAAGGATGATAAGATCAGCAGTTGTCGCTCCCCCTCTTCATGGAGGAACGACACTAAACCCTGCATAGATTTCCTATCCGAGTCACGGCACCATTATGTTGCTCCCCCTCTTCGCGGAGGAACGACACAGGACCCTGCGCTGTTCTTTTGTCTGCTCGGCCCTCCCCGGGTTTGCTGCTGGTTCTTCCCGGGTTGGCTACTGTCCCTTCCACCTCCGTGGAAGGGCGGTTCCCCCTGCCACTTTCCCCACTTCCACAGGGGAGCGGCACACCGCCGGCCGGCTCTCTCGGGGGCTGCTCAGGTGTTCCTTCAGATAGATGTTCCTGGTGCATGTTGTCTCTCTCCTCCTTTATAGTCCTCTTCCACCAATCCCAACTCTGCTACCCACACGCCGAGTACACTGCTCTCCTCCAATCAGGAGCAGGATCAGTTCCTGCAGGTCATCACTCAAGTTGGCGAGAGGCAGCTGCATAGAAGCTGTTTACTTCTCTCCCAGTGCCATATTGTGGGAGAGCAGATGTATAGAATAAGTCTTAATTCCAGTAACAGTCTAGTCCGAGTTGCTCCCCACAAGCAGTCTTGTGGCTGTGCTTTATTTTCTCATCTGTTTGCAAGCATAATCCCAAGCTGGAGTTTAGGATGCATTCATTTTTGTAATTCCAGTGTTGTGACATATAGATGAGAGAGCTTAGGAGATTCCAATTTGGATTCATTTCTTCTACGTTAATTCCTCCTAGAGCACACTCAGTCAGTCTGGAGACCTTGATGATGCAGTAAGCCAGATCTGCTATGAGCAGCATCGTTGATGGATGTCACTCCCAACCGCCTTTTTGGATCCACCAGTGCATTTGTGTAGAGGTCACACTTCCCAGGCAGTAACTGGCATTTGTGGGTGCACTAATGAAGAACATTCACTGTGACAAGGGACTTTTCAATTTAGCTACATTGGTTCAAATACTCCTGAGTTATCTTGCCAAAATAACGAAATTCTGATTTTCCTCAAGTTACATCTCCCAGCTCAAGTCTTCTGTATTCTTACTTCCTCTTGTTTTAAAATTGGTCTTCGCAGGATGTTTCCATTGAGACAATTCAGCAATATTATATTTCTGGAGGGTAAACCCAATTACCTACTTGAATTACATTATGAATAAGTATATTTGAATTCCTGGAAAAATATATGGAAATTTTATGCAGAATTTAGGAACACCTAAGTGCCTAGCATGGTAAGTCTTCTGCACCTGCTTTTCACCACTACACACGATGCTTGTATTCTGTTGTCTCTGGTTTCTTTCTAGCCACAGCCTGTTTTAATTTTACACATCTCCTCAACTGATACTTATCAAGGGTCTACCTTATATGGTAGTCTACTTGATTATAGGATTAGAAAGACTAATAAGGTATGACAACACCAATTGATTACTGGAGTACAAAGCCATGTGAGACATTCACTCATGAATATTCTATTCCAGTAGTTCCAGTAGTGGAGGTCTGTACATGTTAATGCTATGGGAATCTACAGATGGTAATACTAACCTAACTTACAGTTTTTAGTGAATAATCTAAAACCATTTTCACAAGCATCAAAATATGAGTCTAGTATTTTTATTTTCATTCAGATAAAACACTTTGTAATGTCTATTTGGATCCTTTTGTGATGCATGGATTAATGAAAGTTTTGTGTAATTTCCATACAACCATCTTTTTTTCTAGTTATCAATTTTTAGATTATTTTCCCAATAATTTATTTGCTGTGAGAGATTAGACTATGAAATACTACAATTTTTAAGAATTTTTAAAATAACTTTTTATTTTATTATATTTTTAAAATAACTATTTTATTTAAAATAATATTTATTTAAAATATTATAGTTAAAGATAATTTTTAAAATAACTATTTATTTTATTATAAATTTTCTCAGATAATCTCTGTGCCCTTGAAAATTATGTAAATTTACTCACTAGGATGTATAGTTATTCTGCATTTGCAAATTAGGTAAGATTTTTCAGTGTTATTGTTCAGATCTCCTGTATCTGTGTAACAGAGATGTACCCTTATTTTAGCAAGTGTTGAAAGATATACAATATACTTTCTAATAGGATTTTGGATTTGTTGACTTCTCCTTAATTCATTAATTATATTTACACATGCTCATTTTGTTATCACATGGATTTACCCTTGTCCCATCATCAAATTTTCTTCCTTTTTTTGTTTACGATTTATTTATTTATATGAAAGCCAGAGCTACAGAAAGAGAGAAATAGTGAGGGGGTAGGCAGAGAGGGAGATGGTCAAACCAGTGCCAGGAACAAGAGCTTCATTTGGGTCTCTCAGGTGGGTGACATGGGCACAAACACTTGGGAGGTCCTCCATTCTTTTCTCAAGCCATTAGCAGGGCATTGGATTAGAAATAGAGCAGCCAGAACATTAACTGGCACTCATGTGGGATGCCAGCATCGCAGGCAGTGGCTTTACCTGCTATACCAAAACGTCAGCCCCTGTTCTTCCTTTTAAAAATGGTTATTGTATTAAAGTACACTTTTCTGATATTATAACTCTTCCTTGTTTCATGCTTGCATAGTAGGCAATATCATATACAATTATATTGACAAATATCAAATATTTTTAATGTACCCAATTCAAAAGTTGTAAGAACTCCACAGTGAATATTAAAAATAATTTCTCAGGAATTCATATATACATTCAAAGAATATATTCAAGAAGATGTATATTAAAAAGATATACTATATACATTCAAGAGATATATTATAAAAAGGAATATTCATCAGAAGGTATAAGAGTTCCTCATTGTTCACCAGCTTAGGTGATTAATAGAAAATGCTATAAAAGCAACAGAATATATTTAACAAAGCATTTGGTAAAATTTAACAGCCATTAACATTAAAAGGTAAAAGAATCCAATAATTTAGGATATAAATACTATGTGTCAACCTAACGAAATATATTTCTCAGAAACTTAAAATTAGTAAGAAGGTATACAATGAGGTATACATGATCTCTTCTAGAAGTATAAATCATGCATTTCTCTCTGTAAAGAGAGTGTGTGTTGACATCCAAAAGTCAAGGAGAATTATGTTCTATCAGACCGGCTATATCAGACTGCCAACATTATCTTGAACAGTGCTCAAATATTTTCATTAATTTGATTCTCATTGTCTCAATTATAACTATTGAGAACCTACTTATTGCAACATATATCATTAAATATGGGTGCAGATAAAAGAGAAGTCAAATGTAGAATGTATTTTAATAGTTTTTGAAATTATTTTACCTATATATTTGTATTTTATAACTATTTACTGAATATTATCTATATGACTATCTGAAATCATATCTATATGAAGTTATAGCAGGTGAATTGTCTATGGCAATTAAAAACATTATGTGTGTGTGTATCTATGACAGAGGGCAAATGGGAATAAATTAATTTAATTGATATAAATTCCAAAATTAAGATGATTCACCTAAAACTGTAAATGTAGGCATTATCTTAAAAACAATTTACTGAATAATTAGTCTCAAGTTCATAACTAGTAAAATTCATTAAGGGAATATATGAAAACATATTGCAAAACACACTAAGAGAGTAAAGTTTATTGAAGCAATAAATTGTATTTGAAACAGACACTTGGTTTCTGAAGTTGAGTAAGAAATTTAATATTTTCTCATTATGACAATAAGGATAATATGTATGTTAAATTTAATGGTACTTCCAGAATGCACCAACTACGAAATTTCTTTGGATTGTATTATTATAATTATTGCCTTACCAATCTGTCCCTTTGGGTGAGTATTTTAACTTAATTTTGACCAAATTAAATGCCAGAAATAATATATTCTATTTCATATGCTACTACCTACTAAAATCATAATGCTGATTTATTGCTGTGATCTCCTATTTAAAGCATGAACAAGAACTATTAAACTCTCATTCCAGAAGGGAAATTTTTATTATTAACAGATGCAGTCCAACTGGGGAGTCTCACGCTGCCATGAAATATGAGTCTTACTTCGAGATGCATTTATTCATTATGTGTATAGAGGGACAAAGGTGGGTCAGCTCAGGGCCCAGGCTGCATTCCCAGCTCCTGTTGTCATCAGCTCTCTAAGTGATCCTGCTGCCCAGGTCCCCTGGGGCCTGCCCATTGTTATATTTCTTCCTGTGCAAACACTGCTCAACCTGAGCAGATGAGCACTCTCTCCTCCTTCCCACTTCGCTCTAATAAAATCCCCATTTTTCACAAACAGAAGGACATTCATTTTTCCCGCCTCATTTTTCAAGTACCAAATCATGGCATTTCAAGCTTTAAGTAAACAAAAAGTCCAATTTTTCATAGTGACAGCAGCTGCATTGATGTATGAACCTGAAACACTAAATGACTTATTCCTGATGATATTTGAAGAAGCCCCTTATATTTAAAAAAAAAAAATGTCAAAATGATTTGTTTTGGCATCCCATTATAGCCCTTGTTTATTTAAGTCCTTAATAGGCTATGTTTCATTATCCAGGGTGTAGGTCCTTCTCATAAATTAGGTCCCATCTGCTAAAATCTCCTCATTAGAGGCTCAAAGGATACCATGCCAGATACTCCTTACTCAAATAAATCTCATAAGCTTGCAGCCTGTATGATTGATTTTACTGAAATCTTGGATGCAGTGGAAATAATGACAGACATGAAACTTCTATTTTTTTTTTTTAACCTGTAGAATGAACTGCAATACAACCATGCTCCAATAATCAATCCCAAGATGGAACCTGTTTTCTTGTCTGGATATCCTGACAGAGAAAAGTGTCGCAGCAACTGCCTTTTCATTTCTGTTTCAGGCACAGAACCACGGGGTTGTGTTTTGTGAAGAAAGTACTTGTAGCCCTCGACATGTGCTCTGCCCACCCCCTTCACTGCCATGTGTGAATGGACAGTGATAATCGGGAAAGGCTGTGAGAAGCCAGTCCTCACTTACATCTGAGGTTGCTGCCTTTCCAGAGTGATTGTCTAGGAACCTCTGGCCTATACAGAACCCAAAAGTGTGCATTATTGCTTAATCCCGTGGCTCTGGTGGGTGTGATGACACAGGTAAGTGGTTAAGAGGTTAAGACGTGGATTTAGGAATGCAAGACTGTGAAAATTCTCCTCTGCTCTGATTTGTCTCTTGCAGGGGGTGGAAGTGACACTTGAGGTTTCCTTTCACTTGGGTATTATTGAGTAGCTGGCATGGAATAACTGCATAGATTTAAAGTATGAAATCTCTCAGGATTTGTTGTATGTAGACACCTATGAATCCATCAACAGAAGCAAAATAGTGAGAGTATTTGTAACTTTCCAGAATTCCGTATCCTGCTCTCTAAGTCCTCCCTCCTGCCTCTCCATTGTTCCCTTCACCCTTATGTTCCCAAGAAATCTCTGATCTAACTTCAGTTATGAAGTGCTTTTTGGTTTATGACATTTCAAATCGATGGGATTATACAAGCATAAAAAAGATATACAATTGATGCATATGAGTACAATGATACTTCAAAATGCTCCTGGAAAATGCAATTTAAATATAAGTTTGGGGCCAGAGTTGAGTACAATAATTAAGATGCCAATTAAATTGCCTGCATCCCATATTTCAATGCCTTTGTTCAAGTCCCAACTCCATTGTGATTCCAGCTTCCTGCTCATGTGTACACTGGGATACAACAGATGGTGGCTCAAGAAGTTGGTCCCACACTAGTCTCCCATCTAGGACAAATGAATGGAGTTGCAGGCTTCTGACTTTGGTCTTGCCAAGACTTGGCTGTGGCAGGCATTTGAAGGGTGAATCAGCAGATGGAAAACTCTCTCTTTTTTTTCTCTGCATCTATGCCTATCGAATAAGTAAATGATAACAATAATAATAATAAACATATGGAAAAAATTAAGATTTTTTTTTTTATTCACAGCCAGACTGCATTTATTCAAAGAATATAAACTTTCAGAGGTTGACCAACTGCCAGTGTGCACACAGACGGAACACTTGGCAGAAGGCCCAGACCATAGGACCTGGCTTTTTTATATCTTAGGTGTGCTATTTGGTTCCAAAAATTTTGATTCTCATACATGAGAATCTTACACACATGTGTATGTATATGTAAGACAGTCTCTGTTTTCTTATTTTCAACATAGCTATTTCAAGAATTCCCGATGGTTTTGTGTATTTTTTTTGGTTCCTGTTTATTGCTAAATAAGATTCCAATGTGTGGGTATGCCACAACTTATTTATCTTTTTTCCTATTAAAAGGCATTTAGGTTGTTTTAGGTTTTTAATTATTACTATTGAAGCTTATATGAACAGTCTTTTTCAAATTTTTTTCAGCAACATACACTTCAAAAAGATCAACATTTGTTGCTGTCTTGGGTTCAAGTGGTTGGGCCATATGGAAGTTATATATTTAACATTTTCGGAAGTGCCAAGTTACTATAACATTTACATTCTCTTCATAAAAATATGAGAATTTTAGTTCATGCAGATTCTTGGCAACACTTAAATTATGAACTACTTAATTGTAGTCACCCTATTGGAGATACATAGTAGTATCTCATTGTATTTTTTAATAAATAGTGTTATTTGTTGACAAATTAAAATGTGAAATTCTCTGGTATCCAATGAAATTGAAGTTCATTTCATGTATCTGCATTTCATAAATATTTTTGGTGAATTGCCTATTTTAATCTTTTGTTCATTTTTATAGACTGGTAAAATCATAAAGTTCTTTTATATATTCTAGCTCAATTGACAGATAGCTATACTTTTTTCTCAGTTTTGGCTTAACTTTTAACAATGTCTTTCAAAGTTTTAATTCTCATAAGTTATTATTCATCTGTTTTTAATGAATCCTGGTTTTTTTGTTTTCTGATACTTCATGTCTTCTTGTTAATGAAATATTAATACAAAGAGAACAGATTCAATATAGTTCATAGATAAAATTCTAAGAGTATAGTTTGTGTGTACTTCCCTCCCTCTCTTTCTCCCTTTCTCTCTTTCTTTCTTGCTTTCCTACCACCCTGCCTCCCTTCATCTTTTCTGTTTTAGTTTTTGAGATTACATATTTTTTAAAGATTTATTTATTTATTTACTCAAGAGGCATAGTTAGAGAAAGGGAGAGACAGAGAGAGAGGTCTTCCATCTGCTGGTTCACTCCCCAAATGGCAGCAATGGCCAGATCTGGGCCAATCTAAAGGCAGGATCTAGGAGCTTCTGCTGGGTCTCCCATGCAGGTGTAGGAGCCCAAGCACTTAGGCTATCTTCTACTGCTTTCTCAGACTATCCACAAGGAGCTGGATCGGACATGGAGCAGCCAGGACTCAAACCAGCACCTGTATGGGATGCCGGCACTGCAAGCAGATGCTTAACCTCCTATATCACAGCACCATCCCAGAGATAAATTATTTTTAATTATTATTACAATCAAGAGCTTAATGCTCCACCAAATATAGAGATCAACAAACAAAATGTAAAAACACCTTATTTCAGCAGCAATATAGACAAGGCCTGTAAACAATAATCAAAAAAAAAGATGACCATTTCACCTATGTACAGTAAATTTTAAAATAATCACATATCATTAAAGCTATAGGAGTATAAACATTCTTAACCATCGGTTTAACAAAGACGTGTAAAAAGTTTGACAAAAATGTATTTGCAGCAGTACTGACACATAGGCATTTCTTTTTCTGTTTTTGCTTTTGTTTTTTGATTTTTTAGCTTAATTTAAGTTGGACGAAAATGTATTTTCAGCAATAGGGATACACATAGCATTTCTTTCTTTTTGTGTTTTTGTTTTTTGATTTTTTTAAATTAAATTTAATTTAATTTATTTAACATAAAAGGGAGAGCATGCATTTTGTCTTTCTGTGTCAGGTTTGTTTTCCTCAACAAGGCATTGTGCAGTTGAATCCATTTTTATGCAAATGGTGGAATTTCATTTTTCTTACAGCTGAATAATATACCATTTGTGTGTGTGTGTGTGTGTGTGTGTGTGTGTGTCACATTTTCTTTATCTGTCCATCATCAGATTTTATATTTTGGCTATTTTGTTTTTATTTTTTTTTTTATTTTTTTGACAGGCAGAGTGGACAGTGAGAGAGAGACAGAGAGAAAGGTCTTATTTTTGCCATTGGTTCACCCTCCAATGGCCGCTGCCACTGGTGCACAGCCGCCTGCGCACTGTGTTGATCTGAAGGCAGGAGCCAGGTGCTTATCCTAGTCTCCCATGGGGTGCAGGGCCCAAGGACTTGGGCCATCCTCCACTGCACTCCCGGGTCATACCAGAGAGCTGGCCTGGAAGAGGGGCAACTGGGACAGAATCCAGTGCCCCGACTGGGACTAGAACCTGGTGTGCTGGCGCCGCAGGCAGAGGATTAGCCTGTTGAGCCACAGCAAAGGCCTATTTTGGCTATTTTGAATAATGCTGCTATATGATTACATATTTGGCTACTGTGAACATTGTTGTGCAAATATAGTGGTGCAGATATCTCTTTGTTACAATGTGTTCATGTTTTTTGGGTATATATACAGTGATGGAATACCTGGATAATGTGGCAAGTCTATTTCTAGCTTTTTAATGGATCCTGATTTTAGAATCACATCTTTGAAGGCTGTGCTTAATCCAGGTTTCATCTACAATTGTATAGATTTGGTTTTACATTCAGGTACAATTCACTTTGAGTAAACATTTGTACATGGTGTCAAATGGATTGATAATGATTATGTATGTTTGGATATTCAATTTTCCAGTAATGTTTGTAGAAAAGAACTGAACTGCTTTTACAACTTGGTTGGAAACCATACGGACAAGTATTCATACATGCCTTGTATGAATGAGTTTATTTCTGAAATTTCCATTCAAGTATATTGATTTGATTGACCATCCATATGAAAAATATGTTAGAATATGTTCTATGATATGTAAAATCTTATAATGTAGCATTATAACAAGTCCTAAAATCAAATATTATTCATCCGCTCATTATGTTCTATTTGGAAAATTGCATTCTTTTGTCTACTACTCTAGGTCTTTTGCATTCCAATATAGAATTTCAGTTGATTATTTCTTTTGAGAAATTTCTGGGATTTTGATGGGCATTATATTGATTTTGTGAACCAATTTTGGGAGGATGGTTTTCTAAAAACTGTTTCTCCTTTTTCTTTAGGAATCTAACTTTTAGCAACAGTGTGTACTTTCCTATGAATAAGTTTTGCATATGCTTCATCAGATCTATCTCGAGGTGTTTCATACTTTTGTTGCTATTACAAACTATTCAATTTGCAAATTCTTGTATCTAATTATTCTTTACTAGAAATGGAAAAATTAAAACATTTACATTGATTTTATGTCCCACAATCTTGCTTACTTCATTTATTTGTCCTAGTAGATTTTTTGTAGATACTATTAGATTTTTTTAACTTTTATTTAATGAATATAAATTTCCAAAGTACAGCTTATGGATTACAATGGCTTCCCCCCGACAACCTCCCTCCCATCCGCAACCCTCCCCTTTCCCTCTCCCTCCCCCCTTCCATTCACATCAAGATTAATTTTCAATTCTCTTTATATACAGAAGATCAGTTTAGCATATATTAAGTAAAGATTTCAACAGTTTACACCCACATAGAAACACAAAATGAAAAATACTATTAGATTTTTATATGGATAATTATATCAGTCTCTATTTCCTTTCTAATATGTATTCATTGTATTTATTTTTTCTTGCCTGTCTAGAATTCCATGACAATATTAAATATAATGGTCAAAGTGACTACCTGTATTGTATCTCTGATCAAGTATTTTTAGGGAAAAAGCACTCAGTGTTCCACAATTAAATGGAATATTATTGCCAGTGTTTTGACAAATGCATTTATCAATTGGACAAAATCTCTTGTATTCTTCGTTGGTTGAGATTTTTTTGTGGGAGATAATAGTTTTTTTTTTTTTTCTTGTCAATTGCTTTCTCTGAGTCTCTGAGATGATCTTATTTTATATATATATATTTATTTATTTTTTACGTTTTATATATATATTCTTTTGTCTTTTAATAAAGGGAATCACAATAAT